TGAGAATTGAAATATTATTATCGTACATGTAGAATCAGAAGTGAATAATGAATCACAACTCATATTATACTATTCTCCAATTCTGAGCACTCAATTGGAGAATCGTTGAATGAATCTTGAGAATTGACATACTGTATTTGTAGAATTGGAAGTGAATGGTGGATTACAACTCCTATTACGCCGTTCTCTGATTTAGCACGTATTGCACCCTTACACCCTGGTTATTTATTTGCAGCCTTGGAGCAAATTGGGCTCCCTACGTTTTTTTCTAAAAGGATTTCTTAGCTTTTTTATGAGATCATATTATCTTGTAAAGACTGAAGTGCAGAGTATCATGTTAACCTGTGCAAGTTCACAAAGTAAAAGTTGACTTTGAGAAATTTTTGTTTATTTCCTGATAGTGTACTTGGTTGACGTTTTTAACATGATTGAAGCATTTCGAGAAAATGGACTCAACACTCTTGACCACAACACAGAGCTGCATGAAACACGACTAGAAGCAATTGTATCAAGCATATTTTATGCCTTGAACAAGCGATTGCCCACAACTCACTATATCGATGTTGAGCGGTCAATAAGCTTGGTAACAAACTGGCTTTTATATGCATATGACAGGTGAGATCTGTTGAACTGCAAGAAAAGTTCTTTTAATTTAAAGGCACTGGAAATTACTTTATTAATTATATACGCACAGAAATGAAATGGCAGACTAACCCGCATTCTATATATATTAAAAATAATTCTGACATGACTTTGAGGCTTTAGAGTCAAAATTGCAAATTTTACATGACTCCATTGTCTTCAAATTCTCAGAAGAGACTCGAAGACAACGAAAACCAAACCAAATACAGTATCTCATAGAAAATGACCAGAAAGCCTTGGAGTCATGTTAGAAAGTTATATCTCAAACATGGGCTATTGCATGCTCTATGTACTATACAGTGAAACCTGTATTAAGCAGACAGTAGCCAAAGCCCCAAAATTTATTTCCCTTATTTGCTTTAAATTAAACCTTTATTAAGCGGACACCTCTATTAAGCGGACGAGGACACCTAAAAAGTACCTGAAATCATCATTTCTATTGTTACCGACCTGTATTAAACGGACACTAATTGTAATCAATCGCCAACACCCAACATGGCAGACACCGGAAATGCGAAGATTACCTCGAATTGCCACCCACAAATTTTTCTATTTTCACATTAAAAACGTGATTTGACGAACATTTTTTATTAATTTCACAGTACAATATTGTTTTCTATTTCGTTTTGTTGGTATAGAGCTTGTTTCACTCATCTGATTTCTTCAAATTTTAGTTGCATTCTATGTTTATGGTAATATGATCAACTGGTCCACTTTGATAAAGAAATTAATGGAAACTTATATCGTCAAAATCTCTGGGAGTATTCTTAACCTTTCTACTGTTCATTTAAATGGCATTTGACACCTCATTTGACGTTATCTATCGAAACCTGTACTCCTGTGTCTACTTTTTATGATATCCCCCAGATAGAGAGTTTCCTTGCAGGCTAGCTTTTTGTTGACTTCAATGTTTTTCTTTTCAGCTTCCTGCAGCCATTGGAGAGGCTCCTACATTTGGCTTTACTGAGCACATGACAAATAAATTCTTCAAGCCAGAAGGGGTGAGAAGCTTAACTATTACTTACATGACAGTAGTATTTTACTTATTCTGGCAACCAAAATATTTCCTCTTATTGGATATAATTTTTGTATTCCATTGGAAAATTTAATAAAGTCAGAAATCCAAACCTTGATTCCCCAGTAAGATGCATACAAAATGTAGTTTAAATTAATAATACATTAGCAGTGATTTTGTTACCTTTGCATCCTGAGTCATAAAAATTCCTGAAAATGCAAAATAATTCATGGCATGCGTCCTGTAGGATGCAAAGATCAATCGATATGAACTTGTGTCTTTTTTTAGAAATATCCTTTTTGTGTGATTTCTGTGGTCTTATTTATTACTCTTGTTTAATTACAGGTTAACGCACTCAGTGTGTGAATTATCGGGATATTAGCTGCACGAGTTCACTAACAATAAACAAGAAATAATTTCAATACTTGTGCGGTATCGAAAATTCGAGTTCATTGTTAGTGACCAAGTACAGGTAAATCCCGATAATTTACGAGCAATGAGTGCATTTACATTTTTATTATTCAAATTGAATGCACAGCACAAAGCTGGCAAAACTGTTGACAACATGCAAAAACACCTCAACTATCTTGAATGAAAAATTAAAATTTGCCACCTTAATTTCATAACAGATATTCCCCAAGCAGTTGCTTTCTTGGTGTTTTTAGAAATTGCATCTTCAGTAAGGGAATCAATGTCTGCATCTGACAAATCGTCAAACTTTGAGTCAGCCGAAGCCATGGTGTAATGATAGTGGTGGGTGGAATTTACACCACGGATATTACACCACAATAATGACATCAACGTGGTTGTTTCATCACGACCCAGTATTATGTGGTACAAATCAGCCAATCAGAACATTGGAATTTGTACGGTGTATGAAAGTTGAATAATAATGATGCATTATTTCTTTAAGCCTCTCAACTGACTGCTTTAAAATAGAAGAAGTATTTTTTAATTATTTCAGAAAACTAAATTGTATAGTACTACTAAGTTTTGGAGCCCACGCATTTTCAATGTCCGACTCATTTCTTTTTGAACTGGGACTCACATTGGTTCCTGGACTTGGACTTATGGCTTTACACAAGATGAGACCCAGGACTCACCATAACTATTTGTAACAAAATCACTGCATTAAAAATCATGAATTGCATTCAACTCTGCATACTCAATTTGGAACCAGTGAAGAAGTAAAGTTTGGCGTATAATTTCCTTAACTATTGTACAAGCGAAAACCAAGGATAAAAATAAGCCACAACATAGAATATGGTGCATGTTAAGATGACAATGACAATTTTTATTTTTGGCAGCGGTGCTTTACAGAACGCCAAACAACAGTTTATGACTCTTAGTTATTAGGGTCGGGCGGGAAACTGAGTGAATCAAGTCCTAGCTAGTGTGTTCTTGTATACCGGCCCACAATGGAACTTGATTCCTTACTCTGTAATTACTTTAACATCAGAGTCATTTGGCTTTTAGTGGCCATTTGGCATTTAGACTGCAAGCAGCTCTTATTTTTCTTTGCATTACTGCACACAAAACCTAATCGCCGCTTGCCGCTAGAAACAAGGGCGTAAGCCTGGTCAAAAAACATCGTGGTTTTCAATCGCGCTGGATGAGATCAAGAACTAGACGGATTGTAAAAGAAAAGGCGCACTGCAAGAAGTCTATTTGGCATTCTGCAAAACACGTATGCCACAGCCCTTTAACTGAAAACACACACTGTGTACATTTACTAGCACATCTACAGTCATTATTTGTTTCTTTGTTGTTGTGTATTTCAGCCACTAAAACACAATGAAACAGGACTTCTGAATTTCTTGGAATGTGTCATGGGCACTGATGCCCCCCTGTGCTATGTATGGCTGGGTACCCTGCAGAAAATGGCAAATGCTGCAAAATGTATGTACAGGAGAAAAATAATACAGTAATTATTTCTAAGGTTTTGTCTGAAGAAGAATGTTTGGTCTCCCTTAACCCAATGTTTTGCTTCAAGTGACAAGAAGTTAGTGTCAGTGTTGGGTTATGGGAGGGGTAGGTTGGCAGTTTCCTAGAATCGTGGGATCAGCGTAAGATTCAAAGAAATTTCCAACCTACCCCTCCCCTAACCCAACATTTTGCCCTTAGTGAGAAGTTGGTATTAATGTTGGGTTAGGGGAGGGACAAGTTGGCATTTTCCCAGAATCATGGGGCCAGTAAAAGGTTCGAAGAATCTGCCCACCCACCCCTCTCCTTACCCAGCATTTTGCCCTTAGTGAGAAGTTAGTATTAATGTTGGGTTAGGGGAGGGGTAGGTTGACAGTTTCCTAGAATAGTGGGATCAGTGTAAGATTCAAAGAAATCGAAAACAAATCTAATTGTTAATAATAAATGGAAAAATAGAAATAAAATTAAATTAAGAAATAGCTATGATAATATATCGTATATACTATATACATATACGTATACTTATTATTGACTTAAAAATGCTCAAACTATGACATAGAAAAACTGTTTTAGTCATGCAATCAGTCATCTAGTTCTCGGTGTGACATAGTTCCAATTTTTGCACCGCGCTTAAAGCTAGTGAGCATTTTACTATTTCCTGTGCTTGCGCTTAGCGATTTCCAAGTGTTGATAGACTGATAGTGAAAGGAACGTTGTGCAGTGGCTGTTCTGCACATAGGAACGTCTAGATTTTTCTCTGAATCTGGTATTATAACTATGGATTCCTGTTCTTTTATTGATGTAGCTATTTAGATAGGAGGGCGCAAGTCCATTCACTATTTTGTACAACCGTATGTTTGGGGAGTTGTAGGTTGGCAGTTTGGTAGAATGTTGGGATCAGCGTAAGATTTTAAGAAACCTGCCCGCCTACCCCTTCCCTAACCCAACATTTTGCGTTAAGTTAGGAGTTAGTTTTAACGTAAGTTAGGGGAGGGGTGACTGGCAACTTGAATGCTTCGTCAAACTTCCTTTCACGCTTGCTAGCTCTTGCTGAGCCATTAAGAATGTTTATAGAGAAATTTGTTTTCATAGTATAGGGAAAGAGTTACTAATAAGCTTACGTTTCTTATTTATTCTTACGTTAGAAAACGAGGAAGCTGAAAAATACTATTAAAAACCATGTTCCGTCGATGAGGCCTTTACGGAGTTCGGACACCATCAGCGAGCGTTGAATGACATCTTATTTTACTTCAGAACCCACTTTGATAATAATGGAAATGCAAATAACGCGCTGTCTATTTTCTGGGAGGTAAGGATCAACCTGACCTTAAAACTCATTCTCATACACACCCATATCCAAAAGCAAAGCAACACAAAACTTTGCAGAACTTAGTCACATGCGTGACTACCACCTAGCAACGGTTCGCTGGATCGCAAAGTTTCGAGGACGACCGGGCGAAGCCTTTCTAGGCAAATTTAAACGTCTTTTAAGTTTTCTAGACCAGTCGTTTGGGTTAATTTTTAACAATAATTTAACTCGGCTCGGAATGCTTCACTTGGTGGCACTCAGAGCTTTGAGGTCAGAGTCAACGCTTAGATGCTTGTAATCCAGTGAGCTGTTGACCAAAGCCTGCAAAGGGCCTTTTGGGCCAGTTTCAAAAGCTGAGCAGTGTAAACCTAAAGAAATCACATTGACATTCACGGATAAATACTAGCAGCCTCGGTGAAAACACTCATTATTCAGCCTAATAAATTAATTTCGTGCAAGCAGAAGAGCCCGCAATCGTAATCTTCAGGTTGCTGGTACGAATGGCGCTTGGCAAGTATGTAACGAGCGTTCGTTTCGATTTCCACTAAGAATGAATTGAGTGCCGAGAGTAGAACGCAATCTGATTACGCGCGGTTTCACCTTCTATCACTCGTAATCTGATCACGCGTGTTTTGACCTTCTATGATGTGAAACGTAGGGAAAACACGGCGTTGGACCAAGGGCGTTTAGACCTTCGATCGATCTCGCCCGCACTCCATACCTTCGGTTATTACCTGTTCAACAGTTATGAACGTAAATTAATCAGTGTGTGCTAAAACCTATGTTCGATTGTCCGGGACATGTAGAAATTTAGTTCGGACATGTAAACCTTTGACTTGAAATGTCCGTGGGAGAAGTACATTAAATATTTTAATTAGAAAAAAATAAAGAAACAGTTGAAAATGGTCTTCAAATTACAGTAGAATTAAAATTCATCTTAAAAGTCAAAAAGCAAACCTCATGTTTGACGAAATAATGTTAAATATTCCTTTTAACTTCCCCATTCCACGGTCTTTTCATTTACGAGCCTAGTTTAGGTTTAAGTCAACTGTGATTAAGGCCAAACTTTTTGGGCAAGAACTCTTTGGTTTTGGACAACCAATCTTCATATAGTGCTTGTCCTAAGGACGAGTGGATAGGAAATTTTTCTCTTAATCTGTTAATTATGTCATGCTTTTTATTGTAGGTTTTGGGGAAATACCGTAAAGCGTATGGTCCTGAGCCAATCCGTCGCTGTGGCAACTGTATCGGCGGGGATGGAGACAAATTGAAAAGATGTGCTAACTGTGAGGAAGTATATTGTAGCAAAGAATGTCAAGTTCTGGCCTGGGAAAAGGGCTATAAAAACCTCTGCAACAAGTAAAAAAATACTATAACATCAATATAAAAAATACGTATATACTTAAAATTAGGAAAAGTATATAAAACCTTTTGGAACATTTAGAGAACTTATACAAGTGTGGATAGTATGCACAAAGCATTGTTACCACTCTGATGTATACAAGGTTATCTAATGTATCAATTAACTCCAACAAAAACGTTAACAAAAAGTCGACAAAATTAGTTGAGACACTTCGCCCGAAAGGGGCTTTTTGACGTTTTACCGACTTTAAAAGGGCATAATAAAGCTTTTCCTCCCCATCCCCTCCATGCAATGTTGTGCCGATGTTCGAGCTACCTGTAAAAAACAACAAACATCCCAACTTTGAATGGAGGGGAGGGGTGTAGTTTCTTTTGTTCTCTGAAGTTACCCTATTTGAGTACAATGTCTCAACAAGTTTGTCGCCGATTGTAGTTCAGTTCAGTGTTACAGTTGTAATAAATATTGTTAAGGTTGGGTACCTTACACGTGTATTTTTTTCTTTCTTTCTTTCTCCTCCTTATTACCTTTTTCATCAAGAGGTAGAATTATTTCCATGCATTTTGTCCAGACCCTGGGAAGCATATTATTTTCTATTTTTTTTTCTTTGTTTGTTTGTTTGTTTTATATAATGAATTCGTGAAGCTTTCACATAACAGAAGGGGTAGTAGTAGTAGTAATTAGTATAGCAGAACTCCATTTTTTTACTGTTTATGCATTATCTTTTTGTAATGATAGCACCTATCAAGTAATCAGTGAAGTTATGCAACAGGACGGGAGAGAAAAGAAGACGGCAAACGTTGTGTGACAAGTGTGACAATAATTTTCTTTGTAAAAACCTTCCGCCAAATTCCACCTTCTTTTGAACAGGTCTTTTTGTAAACGACCTGAAAACATTAGTGTAAAATGAAGCTCACGACAAAACACGCTAGTGATAGCCCTGTTACGATTGTCTCACACATCCGTGTTGCCATCCTCTTCTTCCTGCCGTCCTTTTGCGTAAACTCACTATTAACAAAACAAATTTTCATCTTTATCTAATACAACTGTGGTGTCAATTTTTCCAAATCTTTGTTTATGGCGACGTAGTTTATGCTCCAGCTTGGGAGATATTAAACCTGAAAAACTTTATCGAGCCACCTTAACTTGCCATTAATGCATTAGAGCCTTAGAACAGCGTCGTATAATTTACGGTCACACATGCATACCGAGCAGGGCGGATAAAGGTTGGGCGGTGAAACGAGCGCTCCGCTCTTCATTTAATGTGTGATGCGGAGTAGGACTGGCACGAGCGCTCTTTCCGCGCTTCCGGTGCGCTTGAAGGCCGGCGAAATTTTCCTTTTTGGAAAGCGGAAATCCTATTTTCTTTCTGTAATTTCAGGCTACAATGTTAAATAGATAAATTCGTTTCATAACAATATCAATAAACGGTTTCATATGTTTGTGTCTGTACGTCTATAAGTCAAACTTGTTGGTCGTATAATGCCAAAATTTGAGTTTTATTTGAAAGTGTTGAATACCTCCCCCTTCCACTAAATATCACTTAATCGTCTTTCACCGTTTCGTTTGCAAAAGCTTAACACTTCTTAACCTCAATTTTTACATATGTTAAAGGAGGATAAATTTTATATAACATAACAAAAAATTAGATTGATATATTTTGATATAGTGGCGTTGTACTTCTTCAAACTTTGCTTCTCGGGTGCAACGCGCCATGGCTATTCGCGCAATGCGTTGCAAATCCGGCAACCGCATGTAAACAAAGTTTATTGAGGTTAGTTGTAAGGTTTTTTCTCCGTTTTTCTCTCAAAAACAAAACAAGGTAAACAGTAAAAACTGAGGGGAAACTAATTTTAAAGTTTCGAAGTAACAGAAAGACGTATGAGATGTTTTTTTTCAAAATTAAAAAGAAGGATGATGGTGATTGAAATTAGCATAATTTCACCTTGCACGAGCTGCACGCATTTATAAAATACTCGTCATCTACTGCTGTCTTTTAGTTTTGCTAGGGATGACATGGATGAAATTTTCCTTCATGTTTTAGACAGTACTTAGTTGTTTTTGTTTTGGAATAACATCGACATTGGCGAGTAGCAGAACGAAAATATAATTCAGTGATAGAGTCATGGAAGTAATAAAAGAAACCCTTTAAAAGAGATGTTTGTCTACTCCAACTAAACCTCCCGCAAAAAATAGCAACATTTGCCTCTCGGAGGCAGCGTACCAGCACAAAGTAACGAGGAAGAAGTGCAAGAAAACAAATCAAGCTGCCATAATTCAGTGACAGCGGCAGTGTCTAATGTACAAACCACATCGCAAGCACTAATAATAATAATAATAATAATGTTTATTTCTTATATTGCGCAGTCTAGCATGCGATAAAGATATGATCGAGTGCGCATTACAACACTAAAATCTTAAAGTAATAAATGGCTAGTCCAAATAATGATAATAATAATAATAATTTACAATTTTCGGAAAACAATAAAAGTAAAATATGAGTTAATAAAAGAACTAATAAAAAGCTAATTTAAAAAGATGTGTCTTTAGTAAAACTTTAAAAATGTTCAATGATTGACATTGTCTAATTTCTAGAGGGAGTCGATTCCATACTTTGGGCGCAGCATTTTCAAACGCCCTATCCCCGAGTGTCTTTTTTGTTCTATAGGTATTGTCCATTAGGAGTATGCCCCGGTATGATCTCAACTGATACCGCGAGCTCTCTTTGATTTTTATCAAGTCTAAAAGATATTGTGGTGCGACGCCGTAGATACATTTGTGAACTAGCATTGCTATCTTGAATTCTATTCTGTGGGTAACCGGAAGCCAGTGCAGGTTGATCAGGGATGGTGTGATAGGATCATACCTAGATATAGTACATACCAGCCGAGCTGCCGCGTTCTGCAGGCGTTGCAGCTTACCAAGATGAACAGCGGGCGTACCATATAATAGACCGTTACAATAGTCTAATCGTGACATTATAATAGCCTGTACAATGGACTTCCTATTATCATATGATAAATACTTTCTAATACGCCGGATGTTATGTAGATGGTAATAAATATTCTGACATATGCTGTTAATATGTGTGGTCATATTCATGTTTGCATCAAACCAAGCACCCAGGTTTCTAACAGAGTAAACCGCAGAAACCTTTACCTCACCTACTTGCAAGTCACTTATCATAACCTTATTTAACTGTGCGCGTGTACCTATAATAAGAAACTCGGTCTTAGCATCGTTCAGCCGAAGTTTGTCTTGGACCATCCAGGTTCTTATGTCCCTGATGCAAGCTTGTAGAGCGTCAACAGCATCCGTCTCAGTAGCAGAACCATCCGGCTTAAATGAGATATAGAGCTGCGTATCATCAGCGTATGCGTGAACGTTAGGGAGATGGGATTCAACAACATCGAAGAGCTTACTTGCGTACAACGTGAAGAGCAAGGGACCAAGACATGATCCTTGAGGTACCCCTTGAGGCAGATCAAAGTCACTCGAATAGCTCCCGTTAATCAGGATTCGCTGTTTCCTGTTTGATAAATACGAGTGAAACCATTTAAGAGCGGTACCTGTAATTCCATACGTCACGCACAGGCGATTCAACAACACTTGGTGGTCAATCGTGTCAAATGCTGCACTCAGGTCTAGCAATACCAAAAGAGTAACTCGTTGATTGTCCATTGCAGCTAGTATGTCATTCTGTATCTTCAATAGGGCAGTCTCTGTGCTATGACCAAGTCGATAGGCTGACTGGAGGATGGGATACAAACCCGACTGAGTAACGTGATCGGTTGTCTGATCATAAACTGCCCTTTCAACCAATTTAGAGAGGTATTGCAGATTACTCACAGGTCTTAAATTGGATAAGGAAGTCCCTTGCTTGGTCTTCTTCAGTCTTGGATCCACAAGGGCCGTTTTCCAATCAGATGGAAAGTGTCCCAAGGAAAGTGAAGAATTCACGACATTAGTGATGATGGGGAGAAGCATATCGGACATGCCGACTACTAAATTGGTCGGCATAGGATCAAGTTGACAGCTTTTCTTCGATGATCTACTGACCAGCTTCCTTATATCTTCCACAGAATACGTATTGAAATGATCAAGTTTCCTATCGCCTGTAAACACTTTATCCTCAGCCACCGCCCCAGGATGAAGAGTACACGCATCAAGCTCTGCCCGAATCTTTGCAATCTTACGGTCGAAAAACCGCCCGATATCGTTGGCTAAGATTGAGTTGTCCGTGTATTCTGGAAAACACAACTCATTCCTAGGAAGTAACAATGATCGAGTGGCCCTGAATAGCTTTCCTTGGTTTTCGAAGTCGAAAACAAGCGACATTTCTAAGCAGAGTCCCAGTCCACTGCATCACACCTTTTTGCTCGGACGCGCTCGTTTCACCGCCCAACCTTTATCCGTCCTGATACCGAGTGTTCTGTCGTACACATTCGGCTCGATTCGGCTAGTATAACCCTTCCGAAATCATGGTAATCAACTGGATGCCCTTTCATGTCCCCGACATTGAAAAATGTATTTCCATTCGGCGGAGCTAAACGTAGTGACAGTGACAGAGAATGTAAATACTTTCCTATTGGTATGAACGCACGTGAGCCGCTATGGCGTTATTTGACTTTATTGTTATTAGGTATACATGTATAAGGTTTTGACAGTTGTAATGTATTCATCTCAGCTCTCGAACTATCAAGTTTTATTCTTATATCGTACTTTATTCATCTATCGATTGATTTTTCACCTTTAATCCCCAGAGGTTGTGCGACCGCATCGGTTGGGGAAATTTTTTCCCATTGGGTTTTTGGGTTTTCGCATCAGGCGGCGCACGTGAATAGTTTAGTCTTGTATACCATTCTTAAGTTATGATGTTGAACTTTGTATGTTATTTGGACGGCATTAAACACTCAGGCTCCACAGTTTGAGCTGCACACCCATTCCCGTCTCTTAGTCGTGAATATAAATAGGAACAGAACTGCCATTGTCTGGCAAGTACAGCAACCTCTCCCACCCTAGGAGAGCTTACTCGCTGTCTACCCATTGTCAAGCAAAATACACAAAACCCGGAACACACACCCCAATTCTAGTTAATATAATTGACTTTGTTACTAGCATAATTTTGCTTGATTGACAGTAAGTTTTGCGACAGAGTTACAGACCTTTGGTATTATAGAGTTGACCACTCCAGAAAATACCATAACATACCATAATTTTCTTTGTTTGTCACCCCAAAATTTTGCATAAGCATCGTTTTCGGTTTCTGTTGGGGCCATTTTAACTCCCACGAGAAACTGAAGACAATGCTTATGCAAAATTTTGGGGTGACAAACAAAGAACATCATGGTATGTTATGGTATTTTCTGGTTTCTCTTGGGGCCATTTTAACTCCCACGAGAGACTGAAGACAATGCTTATGCAAAATTTTGGGGTGACAAACAAAGAACATCTAGTATGTTATGGTATTTTCTGGAGTGGTCAATTGTGATTGGACACTAGATAACTGACGTCATTATAATTATGTCGTGCTACCACACCTAATCTAAATCGGCTTCCGCTTTCCGTGACACTTTCTTAGCACATTCGCTAATCTAAGCTTTGTAAAGTTGCTGTTTCTACCAGAGTCCGTGGACCGTGCTTGCAGGTTTGCTTCTTACTTTCTGTTTAATCTATTACGTAAAACGTAGCTCAATGAGGGATGGTCTTCTCTTTGAGCACTCACGATGTCGTGTTATTGAATCTTTGTGCTAAACGCATCATAAACCGACCATGAACCCAGAGAACATTCGCGTTCTCTCGAATGTTCAACCAGTGACTGGTCGATGGAAAAGCTAAACTGTTCGGTTTACATTAGAGGGTCTGAATAGGGGAGTCCACACGTCGGTTGTCAGTTAAAATTTTCGGTCCTGGTCGGTTGTCGGTAAATCTCGGTAAATGATTAACAAAGCGAGTTAATTATTCATATTCGTTTCTACTAATGACGTCACAAATTTCTGTTCCCCGCTGTGACTCAGACATTAAACCTGACCAGTGTAAGAGTTTAGTATGGGAAAGTCACGTTCCGGTCCGGCAACAAATTTTCGTCGTCTTTGAAGATGTTTACTGTTAAAAGGAACAAAATCCAGCTTGGTTTCGATAACAAATATCCTGAAAATAATCAACGCGTTCCAAGACAGCGTTGAACATGGAAAAACTGTACAGACGAGTGGTTTTATTTCTTATGCGGCCACAGGTAGCCCAGGCTCGAAATATGAGCATCGGCGAGCATCGGCATTGTTTGCGTAACATTCAAAATATAAGGATTTGTATGGCAAAGAAACCTATCGTTTCTGTAACCTACGAAAATGAAAGGATTTCAATAAAAAACAGCTTACCTTACTTAAAATGTGTGTTACGTCTCTCCTGTGTGGTCCACGGGCCGATTATGGTCGTTTTATGGCTTTTTATGTAAACGGTTTTCTCTCTATATAAAGTTTTATGTTCAAAAAACATTTTAAAAACGCTCACTCCGAATTTTATGAACAATTTTCACTATGGAAACGCATGTTTCCCATACAAAGCCTTGGAGTAGAATGCAAAGTTTGTCTGAGTCACGCGGGGGTCTAAGGTGACAAAACCTATTTTTAGTAATAGTGGAAAGCGCTATCCACAGAGTTTAAACTCTAAACAAGTACAAAACTTCTTCATTCATCGTCAATTCATCATTTGATTGCAATGGAACCTCATTTTAAGTCTGGTTTGTTTAGCTACGCGATCGTTTGTTTCAGTTTTGTTAGCAAAGACCGATAAAATCCCCAAACATTTAACATTGAAATTTGTTTTAATTCCGATGACCATGACTTCTCCCATGACGCCGTTACTTACGTTCTGTGATTCCAAAAGGTGGCTGAGGAGACCAATCCCAGCATGAAGGTGTATGCCACATGTGAAGCACATGTCAAATTCTTGGAGTGACGAAACTGGAATTTAAAGTGATTTACATACCTCTGGTCTGAAATAGAGCTAACTAAAAGACCTTCCCTCTGCTGGAAACAAATCAAGCAAAATACTTTTGGCAAAATAGGAAAATAAAAAAACTAATAAACAAAATACGATCTATTTCTGAATACAAATATCCCCACAATGTTGGGCCACGGTCGGTTGTCGGCTAACGGGTGAGTTTAAAGTCAGTAGTTGTTTTTTTTTTTTTCTTGTTTCGTCGGTAGTCAGTTAATTTTTTGCCGTTTGTCGCTAGTCGTTTAACGACCTCGTTTAACCCCATTCAGATCATCACGTTAGCTTGGCAAAGTAACAGAAGTGAAGACGATTTATTTCTGGGTTAATTATTTAAATCAGTTGACTTCACTGAACCCTAACGCGAGAAATACTAGGTTCTTGTTCTTTTAGTTTGACGTTCAACTTGTGTTGTAATGAGCACTGACTAAATCTCACATTGCTTTCGACTGAAAAAAGTAATTTATCACGAGATTTTTTATATTTCAAGATTTTCCCGTCTGCTTCAGAGGCTACGAGACTTAGTGTCAACACACTATTGTTGACTCATACCTTCGGAACGCGTTCAAACCTGAATGTAGTTGGTATAGGTAATAGCATGATTTGTAGTGATATTTGGCATAAATACCACGAGTGATATTTCGAATTTGTTATACGTAATAAGGCGAGTGAAATTTGTGACAATTTGGAAAAATCACGAGTGGTATTTATGCCAAATATCACGTACAAATTATGCTATTATTTGTTTACACTACTACCCGCAAAAGGTTTGTAATTTTCACATGTAGGTATTTCAAATTAAGCTGAAATACCACTGCTCTAAGCCAATCAAATTGCAGAAATTTCTCATGTAGTAGTATAATAGGTGTATTTTTAAGGAGATTTGTTGATAGCGTGATACCTTTTCCCTGCAAACGGCTGGTCCTTCGATTCACTCAGGGGCACCCAACGACAATTTTCGGAAAAATATCTGTTCGGAAGACGATTTGAGATCTAGAATTTTCGGAACACTTGTTGTAAAATTGCTTGCTTTCCTGCCTCTCCTAGGATTTTCGAACATCTAAAAAATGGTATAATTTCCTATTTTTAACGGATTTTTACCCTAAAAAGGTCACCTAGAATTTTCGGAAGCCTTTTTTCTGGCTGAAATTTTCGAAACGTTAAGTTTTGATCCCTATAATTTTAGGATCACTAGACTTTCAGCTAAGAAATCCGAACAGATGAAAAATTTTTAGGGGATAAAAATATGGCTATATCTACCGTTTAAATACTAAAATACGTTTAACAATGCTATGTTCAAGTGGTTTTGAACTACATTCTCGTTGGGTGCCCCTGTTCACTTGGATGACCACCTCAGATGTCAATCCCGCTTCCAGTAGGAAACGTAAAAACAGTGTTTACAATAAGTACTTTCGGGCTAAATACATACAAACTCAAATAAGGTTTTTTTATTATTATAATTTATAAATATAAAAAGAAAATTAATTCACAGATTGATAATTGTAGGTAAAGAATTTTCCCTCGGGGAAAAATATTTTATGCAGGCCTAGAGTGATTTTACTTGAACCGTGAAACAGATGCTAACAAATGGTGTAAAATAGCGAGATGTAAACAAAAATTCTACTATCTACTTCACGGTTGAAGTGAAATCACTCACCTGAATAACTTGTATTCTTTAACCCTTTAAGCTTTAATTTCCACATACAAATTCCCCAAACTGATTTGTATACATTTCCTTTAAGAATTAGTTGAGAGAATTTGAAAACCGATCAAAGATGTGAAAAACGAACATGTCAGAAGCTGCGACGAACTACGATTCAAATAACAGTGATGCTGGCCCACCTCAGCTGGCTGTTGGTCTTCCATCCATAAAAGATGTTACAACAACATTGAAACAGCCAGATCTACCCGTTGATATTCTTTTAGTAACCGTTAAGTACTGCGAGTTCTTAGCTTGTTACAATGAGCTAAAAGATCCCTTTAGATATCATTTTGATGGTCTTGGTTACGTTTACTTCGCGGAAGTTGGCGGAAGTCAGCCAGGGCGAGTGAAAGTAGCACTAATAAAGTGTCATGAAGGTTCTACCGGTCCGGGTGGCTCTCTGACTGTCGTTAGGAATGCTTCTCCTATTCTACGACCCAAGGCCGTGATATCTGTTGGAGCATGCAGTGGTCTCAACCCTGACAAAACCAAGTTAGGTGACGTTGTTGTATCAGCCAAACTAACAACATATGCATCCAAAGTAGTGACAAGCGACCAAGAGCAGTGGGCTGGTATTAGCAGTTACGTGAGCAGACGGTTTCTTAACATTATCACGAATTGCGCTGATGGGTGGCAACCACCGTTGAAGAACCCAGAAGATCGCTGCATCAACGTTCATAACAATGGCGAGTTCTTAAGTGGTCCCGAGCAGATCAGAGCAGAATGGAGGCGAAAAGAACTTCTAGACCGTCATCCCCTCGCAACAGGTGTAGAGATGGAGGGAGAAGGTGAGTGCATGTCACTTTTAAAAGCGCCTCAAGCGTACGCCATGCACAAGACCCCAAGGTCATGCAGGTAGCTATAATTCGACCATATCTTCGCCGTTGTCCCCACCAAAGAATGGTGTAAAGTCATGGCTTAGTTTGCTTCATTTTCGTTGCTTTGCGTTCTTGTCACGTGTGCTTTTTGGCTTCGTTCATTGACATAGCTGTAAACCTAGAAATTTAAAGAGAGAAGAAATATCATAGTTATAGTGAATATCTCCTTGGCAATTACTTTAGATATTAGTTGGCGGTTGTTTTGGATCATAACGTGAAAATAGGTCACCTGCTTACACAGAAAGCAATAACTGATTTAACCTGTCCTTTATCTACTACATATATTTTTATATATACATGTTCGTTTACGTAACTTCCTCAAGTCTAAAGCCCTGTCTACACAAAAACATTTTTGAAACAATCGGTTTTCTTTACGCGCTATAATATCGTTTCCAGGCGCCCCCCCCCCCCCCCCCCCCCCCCCCCCCCCCCCCCCCCACCACCCCCCTACACCACCCCTTCTTTTTTTTCCTTTCTCTTTTTTTCTTCTTTTTTTTATCTTTTTTTTTTTTTTTATTTTTTAACTTTTTATTCTATCTTATCACATTTAATTTTATTTATTTTTATACTTTACTATATAGTTTTATTCTCTTGCTCTTCAATCGTTTCTGTAACCTACGAAAATGAAAGGATTTCAATAAAAAACAGCTTACCTTACTTAAAATGTGTGTTACGTCTCTCCTGTGTGGTCCACGGGCCGATTATGGTCGTTTTATGGCTTTTTATGTAAACGGTTTTCTCTCTATATAAAGTTTTATGTTCAAAAAACATTTTAAAAACGCTCACTCCGAATTTTATGAACAATTTTCACTATGGAAACGCATGTTTCCCATACAAAGCCTTGGAGTAGAATGCAAAGTTTGTCTGAGTCACGCGGGGGTCTAAGGTGACAAAACCTATTTTTAGTAATAGTGGAAAGCGCTATCCACAGAGTTTAAACTCTAAACAAGTACAAAACTTCTTCATTCATCGTCAATTCATCATTTGATTGCAATGGAACCTCATTTTAAGTCTGGTTTGTTTAGCTACGCGATCGTTTGTTTCAGTTTTGTTAGCAAAGACCGATAAAATCCCCAAACATTTAACATTGAAATTTGTTTTAATTCCGATGACCATGACTTCTCCCATGACGCCGTTACTTACGTTCTGTGATTCCAAAAGGTGGCTGAGGAGACCAATCCCAGCATGAAGGTGTATGCCACATGTGAAGCACATGTCAAATTCTTGGAGTGACGAAACTGGAATTTAAAGTGATTTACATACCTCTGGTCTGAAATAGAGCTAACTAAAAGACCTTCCCTCTGCTGGAAACAAATCAAGCAAAATACTTTTGGCAAAATAGGAAAATAAAAAAACTAATAAACAAAATACGATCTATTTCTGAATACAAATATCCCCACAATGTTGGGCCACGGTCGGTTGTCGGCTAACGGGTGAGTTTAAAGTCAGTAGTTGTTTTTTTTTTTTTCTTGTTTCGTCGGTAGTCAGTTAATTTTTTGCCGTTTGTCGCTAGTCGTTTAACGACCTCGTTTAACCCCATTCAGATCATCACGTTAGCTTGGCAAAGTAACAGAAGTGAAGACGATTTATTTCTGGGTTAATTATTTAAATCAGTTGACTTCACTGAACCCTAACGCGAGAAATACTAGGTTCTTGTTCTTTTAGTTTGACGTTCAACTTGTGTTGTAATGAGCACTGACTAAATCTCACATTGCTTTCGACTGAAAAAAGTAATTTATCACGAGATTTTTTATATTTCAAGATTTTCCCGTCTGCTTCAGAGGCTACGAGACTTAGTGTCAACACACTATTGTTGACTCATACCTTCGGAACGCGTTCAAACCTGAATGTAGTTGGTATAGGTAATAGCATGATTTGTAGTGATATTTGGCATAAATACCACGAGTGATATTTCGAATTTGTTATACGTAATAAGGCGAGTGAAATTTGTGACAATTTGGAAAAATCACGAGTGGTATTTATGCCAAATATCACGTACAAATTATGCTATTATTTGTTTACACTACTACCCGCAAAAGGTTTGTAATTTTCACATGTAGGTATTTCAAATTAAGCTGAAATACCACTGCTCTAAGCCAATCAAATTGCAGAAATTTCTCATAAAATGCTGTAATATGCTATTTCATTTCCTATTACATGTTTCTTGCCTTGCGGAAATAATATTATATATTTTTGGATCGAATGACAAGACACTTCCGCGATCCGTTAAAATGTTTATTTATATCCTCGTGATCTGGAAAACTTCGGCGACCGCCTGTCTACGTCACATAGCAGACATACACTTGGCGAAATTTTCGCGCGAAAAAAAAGAGTCAAACAAGAGTCATACATGTAATCGGTAAAATAAATGGGAACATTATTTGATTTGTCTGTGGTGTCTCAGTCTGATTTGGTATCGCCTGAATAGGTCCGACATAGACAGCTTTCAATCGCAACGCAGACCTTTACGACAGCAAATCAGGCTTCACCAAAAAAAAAAGAATTTAGTCAGCTGCATTAAAAAGTGGCTATTTTCTGAATAAACGGCAGTACAACGTCAATAGGAGCGTGAAACGCAATTTTTTTTTCAACTGAGTTTATAGAAACAATTTCATCATCATCATCATCATCATCATTCATCGGTCGACCGAAGAGCAGTCGACTGTAAGTCGTCTCCAACTGGCTCGGTCTTGGGTAGCGCGCACGATGTCACTCTCTTAGAAATGCTTATTGGGGTCGGTACATTCCTGTACTTAACGAAAAGGGACTTCTGAGGTCTCCCTGGGGGTTTTCTCCCGTGGGAGGGCTTATACAACGTGTAGATTTTGGTGGGTTTTACCTGAACGTAAAAGAGATTGTAAGTTTGATATTTCGAACGCCAGCCCTTTGTCAGAGCAAATCGAGGTACTGTTGTCTGGTTTATCCCATATATAGACTGGTGGACTAGTAGCACCCTGTTGGTGGCGGTATGGAAAAATAAAATAACAGGAATAAAAAAAGCGTAGGAAAAATATCCACTGAAAAAAGTTGCCGTCAAAAAAGCAAAACAAAAAAGGCACGAAATTCATAACTTATCCCACTTTCTGTCCTTTGGTTGTTGAAATCTTTTGATGTAATATATCCTAAATGTGCTCCATATTTCAGGTGTTTTAACAGCTACATATGATACTCAACTCGAGTGGCTCATTGTTAAAGGGATAGCTGATTTTGCAGATGGTGAGCAAGTAAATGCAGGAAGTTGGATTGCCTATGCTAGTGCGATGGCGGCATCTCTGGTCTCACACATATTAAGTGATCCTGGTGTTTTCCGCTTTTGGCCTCATTATTCAGGTATAAATTTTTGTCAGTTTAGTGGGTTACGATAATAAAGCTAGAGGTAACAGGCGAAATTTGCCGTCAGTGAAAGGAGCCGTGATTCCTCTGAGTGAGAAAGCGAAGAAGCTCATCTCCTGAGATCAAAAGGCGCGTCAATATTTTTCCCCGATATTCCACTTTCATTAAGAGTTAGAAAGAAGCACTTGTGAGGATTGTTGTTGTTTCCTTAACTTTCAGTCACTCAACTTTCAGAACTCAGTTTTTACTCTAGCACTTCAGTGGAGAGTTAAAGAAACTTTAAACTGAGAAAATGTTGATCGTCGGCGTGTATGTTTCTGGTAGAAAACCGAGATTGTACATTCTTTTCGTAGCTATAAATAATGCGTATTTACTAAGAAGTACGTTACAAAAAGCTAATGATGTCTTTGCCTGGATGTTTTAGTGGATGATCCCTTTGGGGCTCAGCTTGAGAGCGGTAGGAAGCGGAAGCTTACTGAGCACCACATTGCTGGTAATATATTAACAATAATTTTTAAAATGTTATTGTTTATAACCCTGACCTACTTTATCTGTTCCGCTCTCTGCTTCACTTTCGTTTTAGAACGCAATGAGTCGAAATGAGCAAAAAATTTAACATGAGACGCGTATAGCCCCTCAAATACACCTCACAGAGTTGCTTGAAATCAGTCCATACTTTAGCCTAGAATCACAAAATCAAATGAAGATAATGAGGTAGTAAATCCGCCCCAATCAGAATCAAATATGTTGTGTCTCTAGCTATTACAATTAACGTTAAAGTTGGAAAGCCTTTCCGCCTAGACCGTGAATCAATTTTGGTAATTCCACATAAAAATTTACCAAACACAACCAAGGAGGTAGCCGTTTGCGACGTTTTATACCATTCTATGTTATTGTAAGCCGCGAAGTTATGACCGAATTACAAAGGATTTAGAGCTACCCACATGACCTTACGAACTTGTAAGATAGGCTTGAGGCCTTTAAATACGACAAGTGAACGTTAACTGAAATAGATGTATGTGAAGTAGCCCGCGTCTCAACCAACTGTTTTCTTCACCAGGTGCTTTGTGTGATGATCAGAGCTCAACACAAACCAAAAGGGGAATGTTTACACCCCACACATCTCAGCAAACTGAATCCACAACCCAGCAGCATCTTGCAGGTATCTCTAACCATGCATTGAATTGTGTCACTTAATAATATATGATCAGCTAATGGTTCGTATTACAGTACATGCAAAAAATGATTGCTTACAATTGTGCCACGGGGCAAAGTTTTTACCTTTAATAAAGCTTATGCAATTTGAGGAGTGGTTAATTTTTATAAAGAAAAAGATACTGTCTTGTCCCTAATTAGTTGTGAAAACTAAATACATTCACACATTAATAAAGCTTTTTCTTACCTACTTTTACTTAGTTTGGAATCCTAAGGTACGGTAAACCTGGCAGCAAAAAAACGCACAACCGTGTTGTTTTAAAAAAATTACTGCAAAACGAGTTGAATTCGAGCTCAAACTTGTCTTGCAACAAATCAGGTTGTTGCAGCTTTGCGAAGTGTTGAGGCAGAAAATGGACAGTACTTCTACTTTTTGCAACAAAATCTGTACAAGGTGCGCAAGATTGCGCAACGCAACTCAAAAGGGAAATGTTTTCTGCCAGTATATCTCAGCTAGCTGAATCCAGAAGCCAGCAGCATTTTGTAGGTTTCTCTCTCTAAAGCTCCAAAAGGTCACGGAATTTTAAACATGTTTGGGTGGTGGAGAGCAAATTCTTCGATCCCTCACCATACTAAAATTTTGGCGAGTTTGTGGATGGGACTACTGGGACTATTAACTTCGCTCCGGTTCTGTCAGCTACTGAAAACGTCAGGTGCTGCTGTTTTATCCTCTAGGAAAAAACTCAGAAAAACCTTATGGGGGGAGGGGGGGGCACCCCCCCCCCCCCCCCCCTTGTACGTCCGAGGATTACAAACCTAATGGGAGGTGGCATTCAATCCGCTCCCTCCCCCCCTTGTACGTCCGAGGGTGAAGCTTGAAAAGTCTACCAATTTTAAGGCGCTCTTTCCAGCAGTACCGATGGATCTTTGCTTACTGGTCTTAAAACAAAACTCAGTAAAAAAAAACTTCGAAGGGTCGAATTTAAAGTCCATACTTTTAAAAGGACTCAAAGGCTCACGTTGGTTTATGTAAGTCTATGTTATCTTTACCTAATTAATGCCCCCTCTAAGACCCGGTTCAGACGCTGAACTTTTCATAGGCCGAACCTAATTCGAATTAAAGCCGTCCCTTTTAGACCGGCGGTATTGATTCAGACGCCGATCTTAATTCAAGCCGAACTAAATTCAATAGAAGAAAATGCTCATTTTGGCCAAACTAGTTTGCAAAATACGTTATCATAATTTATACATTAGGTTCGGTGAATGAAAATTTCGGCGTCTGAATCAAAGCCGTTTCAAAGTCGTACCACAGTCGAAATTTCCGGCCGGGCTAGGCGCAAAGAACGGCTGAGCCGTTCCAAGTTGAAATCGGGCGTTCTTACTTGATTGAGACGCCGAACTTTTCATGTACTTAATTCAATGTATTAAGTTCGGCTCATGAAAAGATCGGTGTCTGAACTGGGCCTAATGAGGATTCTTTGGATATCTCCCCACCCCCCCCCCCCCACTAAACAACCTCTCCATACCTCTTTTATATCCTCCCCTTTCTTCAAAAAAACTCAACACAAACCAAGATCCACAAATCGCGAAGATAGCAGAAGAAATGGTGATTGTGACCGGGGGGTTTTATTTAGATGTGGACCCCAAATTTTTTTTTTTTTTTATTTATTTTTTTACGTTGGGGCCATGAAAAAGTGGGGGTCTGAAAGGGGCCTAATGGAGTTTCTATGGAATACCCCCCCCCCCCCCCCCTCCAAGAAAAGTATTCCATATCGATCTTTAACTCGCGCTCGTTAGTTTTGAAAAAACAAAAGCACAAAAGCGTATCGATCGTATGAAACGTACAGAGCAAGTGCTTAAGTGGGCGGCCTTTATGACAGTGTAATGATACCAAATCGATCCTATTTATAGAATTCTGTCTTTTCCAGGGGTAGGAAGCATCATAGAAAGGATTCGTCAGCTTTACAAACGTCGTGAAGGACGGCTGGGACCATTTCCGTGGTGTGATGACCTTAATTTTAACCTGAATGAAATTTTCACCCGACTGAAGATCGTAAAGAAAGAGAAAACACGAGGAACATTGACCGATGATGAAATCACCAACATGACTGCTATCTTTAGACCCCACCCTGATTGCCAGAAACCACGGATTCTTTTGATTGAAGGGGAACCTGGCATGGGAAAAACCACCTACTCGCAAAAACTGGCGTTTGACTGGGCAAATGAACAAGATGAATGGGACGCATCTTTTCCATCGATTGAAGTGCTGCTCTTGCTTCGATGCAATGATATCAAATCTGGCATCTGGGAAGCTATTGACGATCAACTTCTTCCTGATGATATTGACAAACAGGCTAAAGGTAATTTTTTTAAATACATCCAGGAAAATCAGGCCAAAGTTCTGCTACTACTTGATGGTTTGGATGAAGCAGATTCCGGTAAACTAGACATGTACTACTTGCTCGTTCAGAGTAAACTCCTCGCCTCTTGTCACAGTGTCATTACTTCTCGTCATGAGGTTGGAAAGAAAGTAAGGCCATACTGTGACACCCTGTGGGAGATTGTAGGATTTACTAAAGAGGATGCGGAAAATTTTATCAGAAAGTATTTTAAAGACAAAGGACATTTGGCTGAGAAGCTGATAAAACGATTGATATCTTCACGGCACGATGATGATGATGATGATGATGATGATGATGATGGTGGTGGTGGTGGTGGTGGTACTATAGATCCACTTAAAACGTTAGGCGATTTAACTAAAAATCCACTTAACACAGCTTTACTCTGTTGTCTTTTCGAGGATTTTAAAGGCGTTCTTCCAGCTAGCAGAACTCAACTGTACGTTGAAATTGTTCTTTTTGTTTTAAGAAGGTATGAAGAAAAAAACGGACTTGAAAGCAGCAGTGAAGACTTGATTTCAGTTTATAGGAAAGAACTTTTGCTTTTGGGACGCTTCGCGTTCGAGTCCCTCCTTAAAGGGGAGGTACACTTTGAAAAAAAGGAAGAGATCGTCAAGTCTATCAATTTTGGATTCTTTTCGTTTCAGAAAGGTGGCACCAAGCGCAAACCATGCACACGTTGTGCATTTTTACACAAAAGCTTTCAAGAGTTTTTTGCTGGATTTTATCTTGCGTTTCAGATTATTAACAAAGAGATTGACTGTGCCTCAGTTGTAGCCGATGAACAATATACGGTTAAACTAAGAGAGGCGTTTTTGTTCATGAGTGGATACATAGCTTCACAAAGCCAAGAAACTGCAGTAACATTGGCTGCTAGTTTAGCGAGTCTTATCAATCTCGTTCCCTGTCCATACGGCATCTCCAGATTCAGTGGCAATTTTTACGCAAGTTTAACTTGTAATTGGCTATCGGAATGTTTAAGCTCCGAGGAAAGCCTTGAAACGCACTTAGTTTTTACTATAGGTAATCACCTTAACCTGTCTTTCCTGACTAAAGTTGATTTATCTTCAAGTCAGATAAATAATGGTTTTGCTGCAGCAATTTCGCAGGCCCTCACAGTAAACTTCACCCTGAATTATCTGGATTTGAAGATCAACAGTATTGGCGACGCCGGTGCTTCTAGACTTTCCCAGGCCCTCACAGTAAACTCCACCCTGAATTATCTGGATTTGGGGCATAACAGTATTGGTGACGCTGGTGCTTCTGGTCTTTCCCAGGCCCTCGCAGTTAACTCCTCCCTGACTTATTTGAACTTGAATTATAACAGCATTAGTGACGCTGGTGCTTCTGGTCTTTCCCAGGCCCTCACAGTAAACTCGACCCTGAGTCATCTGGTTTTGGGGGGAAACAGTATCGGTGACAACGGTGCTTGTAGACTTTCCCAGGCCCTCACAGTAAACTCCACCCTGAATTATCTGGTTTTGGGGTTAAACAGTATTGGTGGCGCTGGTGCTTCTGGTCTTTCCCAGGCCCTCGCAGTTAACTCCTCCCTGACTTATTTGAACTTGAATAATAACAGCATTAGTGACGCTGGTGCTTCTGGTCTTTCCCAGGCCCTCACAGTAAACTCGACCCTGAGTCATCTGGTTTTGGGGGGAAACAGTATCGGTGACAACGGTGCTTGTAGACTTTCCCAGGCTCTCAAATCAAACTCCTCCCTCACTTGTTTGGATTTGTGTAGCAACAATATTGATGACGCTGGTGCTATTTGTTTTTCTCAGGCTCTGGCAATAAACTCGTCCTTGACTACTTTGAATTTAAGTGGTAATGATATTGGCGACAATGGTGCTTCTTGTCTTTCCCAGGCCCTCACAGTAAACTCCACCCTGAATTATCTGTATTTGGGGCATAACAGTATTGGCGACGCTGGTGCTTCTTGTCTTTGTGAGGCCCTCAAAGTAAACTCTTCCCTTACTCACTTGGATTTAAATCAAAACACAAATATTGGCAAGGCTAGTGCTTTTTATCTTTCCCAGGCTCTCACAGAAAACTCCTCCCTGACCAACTTGAACTTGTCGTTTAACGACAACGTTGGTGACGCGGGAGCTTCTTTTCTTTGTAAAGCTCTCAGAGTAAACTCCTCCCTGACTAAGTTACGTTTGTGTAAAAATAACATTAGCGACGCCGGTGCTTCTAGTCTCTCCCAAGCCCTCACAGTAAACTCCTCCCTGAGTTGTTTGGATTTGCATGGAAACAGTATTGGCGACGATGGTGCTTTTGGGCTTTCACAGGCTCTGAGGGCAAACTCTTCCCTGACTTGGTTGAATTTGGATTCGAACTTTATCGGCGTCGCTGGTGCTTCGTGTCTTTCGCAGGCTCTCGCAGTAAACTCCTCCCTGACTTATTTGCACTTGAATCATAACAGAATTGGTGACGCTGGTGCTTCTTGTCTTTCCCAGGCCCTCAAAGTTAACTCCTCCCTGACTGATTTGGCATTGTGTGGTAACAGCATTGGTGACGCCGGTGCTTCTGCTCTTTCTCAGGCCCTCGCAGTAAATTCCTCTCTGAGTGACTTGAACTTAAATGGTAACAGTATCGGTGACGCTGGTGCTTTTTGTCTCTCCCAGGCCCTCACAGAAAATTCCTCCCTGACTTGTTTGCGTTTGCAGTGTCTTAACTGTTTTGGTGACGCTGTGGTGGATTCTTTAAATAAGGCCTCTAAGCCTAATACAAAAGTCTTGTGCTTATAACAGATCGGTCGTAATATTGACCACCCTACGGGAGAGGCAACCGATAAAAGGTAAAAAAGGTAAAGAGTCCTTATTTTACGTCGGCAGCTCGAAATAGTCATCTGACTAAGGGCGTTTTTCGTTTGTCAGAACTGACCGGCCAGACCGTTCCCGTCGTAATGAGAATTTCACTTCTAATCAAACCTCTCCAGCCAGATCAGTCAAATCCTAGATAGCATGCACGAAGGAAATCGTTTTAAATCGAAAACTCTCGGAAAAAAGCTTATTTCATTTTCAAAATGACACGACCGGCCATGGTCCGGCCGGCCAGTTCCGACTTTTGGAAAGCGCCCTGAAAAACCTGAGGCCGACGGACGATGTAGTTAAAAGTTTCTTGTGTGTGCCCTCGTATGCACTAAACATAGTAACTTTGCTGTTACATTGCGTCGTAAGAACTTTTGTCTGGCCACGGCTCTAACTGATTTTTCTCCAAGGAAATTTAATGGCAGCCTGTATCATTCTTTAACGAGGAAAAGATTTTTTAATTTTTTTTTTTTTTTTGTAGTAAACATTTTTAATCCAGGTTTTTAGGTTTAGTGGTATAGTTGTAATGTTTAGGAGTAACTGCCCTTGGTGTCAATTCAAGAACTGAACATAATTCCTATTTTCCCGTGTTAGTAACCATGGCTACGTGAAAATGGATTCTCCCCTTTAATAGATAAGCTGCAATCTTCTTACTAGTCAGTTATAACTTTCAGTTTCCCACTGTAATTTTTGCATCCTTTTTGGGGGATAATCCATTTTGCCAGTCAGCTAATATATACAGTGTTAGTTCCCCCAGGGCGCTAGTCCAGTCTGCCGTAAGTCTTGTCCCAAGACACACTTCCAGCGGCTGTTTCAAATGTAATAGCAAGTGTGATTTATGTAAAAATTATTTTAGAGAAAGTAAAATTTTTCGTAGCAGTTCTACCGAGCGATTTTACAATATTAGACAACATCAGGGGCGGATCTAGGGGGAGGGTGCAGGGGGTGTGCAACCCCCCCCCCCCCCCCCCCAGCCCCCCCCCGTTTTTTTAAAAAACAAATTTTCCAAAAAAAAAAAAAAAAAATGTTATTTTTGGTTGTAGAGAAAAAAAAAAAAAGATGTGTCCACTCCCAAAAAAAAACATAACACACCCCCAAAACATTTAACAGAAAATAACAAAAACGGAGGTGTTTTAAAATTTAAAGGAAGTGGTGTTTTTTAAAAAAATATTTTAAGAGAATTAAAATTTTTTTGGGCCGTTTCTCCGGGGGATTTTAAAAAATTAAACAACAACGGGGGGGGGTCTGGGGGGGGGGGGGGGGGGGGGGGCAACCCCCCCCCCCCCCCCGAGATGACCTGCGCTTTTCTAATACAACTGGTATTCTGCAAAAAAAAAAACTATGTGGTTTATTGGTGTTGAAGTAGAGTAAGAGACGAGTGTACCCTCTCCTAAAAAAAATCCTGGATCCGCCCCTGAACATGTTGACTGTAAATCTAAAAATGTAATTTATCTAGTCACTCGTAATAAATGTAAAGTTCAGTATGTTGGTTTCACATCCAATGAATTCAAGGTCAGATTCCACAACCATAAGTCGGCTATGTCTACAAAGAAGACCACTTTATTTAAGTTTTTAACAAAAGAATTTATTGTTCTATGATTGCCGATGCACTCAGGGCTCCTTTTGGGGATTCTGTTATTCTTCCACGGGTTTTTCCATTCATAGGCCTTTAGTTTGTACCTTATTACTTTTTGTTTAAGGTGTGCCCTCTAGGATTACGTTATGTTAATCCCTTTGACTTGATTTAGAGGCCTCGATTGGGGAACCTGTTGTGTTTCGGCAATGACATCTGACTTTTACCACCTACTCTCATTAATTGTTTTTTACCGTCTCATTTTTAATTTGTACCAATTGTGAATGTCTTGCCTTTTTAACGTATTACATAACCTTTTTTTCACCTCGAATGTATATAGATAGCTATTCCAAACTGTGTACTTTTTATCCAGGTTTTGATTTTGTAAATACACCGAAGAAGCCCGAAGGGCGTTTTCATTTGCGAAGTAACAAAAAATTTTCCATTCGTGATTGTTTGAATATTAAAAAAAAACCTTCATTATACATTGAAGAAAAAGTTCCACTTACACATATATACCTTTCAACATCTCGGGGAAATCTTATCTTTTTTGTGTACCATCAGATGCACATCAACATCCTGGTACCATTAAATTCTACAGTACCTCATAACTGAGATGCGTCTGTTCGAAATATTTGATTGGGGGCATTTCAAATATCTTAAAGATAAATCTCCCTATGGCTTTTCATATACTTCAACTCGTGAAATCGCTACTCTTACACATACCAAGATACCTCTTTCGGGTATTAGATAGGGTTACATAGGGAGAAGACCCGGTCTTCATTGGGAAAGCTTCTAATGGAGCTAGGAAACTATCCTATTCCAGCTCGCAACTGGAGACGCCTACGCTAACCTCGGCTTAAAGGTACTTTAGCTCACCTACGTCCTAATCAACATATTCCTACTATTTCAGAGATTTTATTCCTTCTAGAGGAGTTTTTAAAATAGCTCATTTGAACATCAACAGTCTCACTAAACACATTGATGAATTGAAAATTTTCCTTTTTGATTATTCTATCGAAATTATCTCAATAAAACTGAACTTGATGACACTATCAAAAGCCGTGAGGTCCATATACCAGGCTAATATATAGATTTAGCCAGGGCTAAAAGCGAAGCTCTCGATAATATTAATAGTTTGTTCAAACAAAATATGAAATCGTGTAATCGGTGAAGCGGCGAGGGCAGCGCCGGAGAACGGTAGAAAACAACAATAGGTCTAATTAGCAAAAAAGCAACTTTGCACGTGCAGCACACTTCTTTTTTTTTGTACATTTCTTAGCTGTTGTTTTGGACGACTACAACGCGAAACTTCCACAAACTTCTTAAACGTTTTATGGAGAAACGTTTTATGAACGAAATGTCGTACGTGTTCTCGTTCACTTTTTTTTCACTGCACTCATTTTCACCTTGCATTGGTGGCCGCAGCATTTCTCATTTTGTCACCGCCGCTCTAGATCTCTGTTGCCCTTTTTCTCGTTGAGCTTCACTGGCCTGCCGGTTTACGGTCGTTTCGCTTACGAGTCGTTTCGTTAACGTCCTGTTCGCTAACTTCTAAAGTCGTTTCGCATACGCGTTGGGTCAGTTCCCTAACTGCTTTCGCCTGATCAGTGGCTATAAGAACGACGTTTTTACACGCGTATCGCACTTTCGTGTATCAGGGCTGAGAGAACGAAGCTTATACATGCGCAGCGCTCGTTGCGCTTCTTAGCGGAACGACATAAGGCGTTAGCGAACGGGACGTTAGCGAAACGACTTATAGGCAAAACGACCGGTCACCGGCCTGCCACCTCCTTTCTCTTTTTCTCTGTCTTTCTCTTGCTCTACATTCCAAATTTGTGGACATGACAATTAATCTAAGTCGGCTTAATACTTTGGACAACACGGATACACAAACAATTTCCGCTTTTCGTTTTCGTCTTTATTGACTCAGCTCTTTAGTTGTCTCTGCTTTGCAAGACGCCGGTGGCTATGCGATTTCCCGCCAAAATACCATACCATAAATATCATATCTGTTGATTGAGTTATTTTTCATTGGTATGCCTGTGGTGCGGACCGAAGGGTCGCTCGGGAGGTCGGGCGGTCTGTGTGCGGTCACGTGATTACCAAATTTTCAAATTTTTATAGATTTCTTCATATTCTTATCCATGGTGCTCCGCTGCGCGAGAGCTCCGCTATGAATTTATTCGTCGTGATAGAAACAGAGGAAGGCGGAGGAGTAGGCTTTTATGTAAAATTCTCGATTAATTTTGTAGTTTGTTCTAATCTAAATGCACCCTTAATGTTGAAAATTTATGTAGTGAAATTCGGAAACCTAACTCAAAGCCATTTCTGGTAGCTACATGGTATAGACCTACTTGCTCTTCGACTGATTTAATCTTATATTACCAATCATTTTTTGAAAAATTAGATTCCCCTAGTCTTGAATATTATCTTCTAGGTGATTTAAATTGTAACCTGGCCTCTTTACAATATTATTCAAACTGACTCGTCGCTTTTGTAAAATTTCTGATTTATTTGGGTTTCAACAACTTATAACTGAACCTACTCGCATAACAGAATCTTCGTCATCTTTAACTGATTTAATTTTTACAAACTATACATGCTGACAGGGTAGTCTGTTCCGGAGTCTCTCATATTGGCATCAGAGATCACAGCCTTATTTACGTTTATAGGAAATTATCTCCTGCTTTTCCCTCAAAAGGGCATTTAACCATTTCTTATCGAAGTTTTAAAAATTTTAATCGAGTGAGTTTTCGTAACGATATTGCTAGCAGGACTGGACTTGTAACGGCTCTGATGATCTTAATGTTTTGTGGGCTGACTGGAAACGAAATTTTGGGATGTTGTTAACTTTCATGCACCATTCCGAACTAGACGCGCTAGAATAATACAAGCACCCTGGATCAATTCAGAGTTAAAGAAAGGCATGCGCGACCGTGATACTGCCCAAAGAAAAGCTATGACGATGAAATCGGAATGATCCACGCGACTGGGCAAAGTATAAAAAGTTGCGAAATACAATAAACAAGAACATCAAGACTTTTAAAGCATCTTATTATTCTAATGCTTTTAGTCAGTCTGAAGGTAATTCTCGGAAAACGTGGCAAACAGTTAACGATCTTACTTCCCGTCGCACCACCAATACAATGATGAAAGAACTGAAGTTGAATGGTTCCATTACTTTTAAATCTAGAGAGCTTTCTAATGCTTTTTATGACCATTTTTCAACAATTGGGCCCCGCCTTGCCAATGAAATTCCTTAAAATGGTAATAATATATAGATTTAGCGAGGGCTAAAAGTCAAGCTCTAGTTAATATATATAGTTTACTAAACAAAATACAAAATCGGGTAACGCCAAGG